TGTATTCATTCATATATATATATATATATATATATATATATATATATATATATATGTGTGTGTGTGTGTGTGTGTCATATATATATATATATATATATATATATGTGTGTGTGTGTCATATATATATATATGACACCAGAAGTTAATATTGGATGTCTTCATCAGTCACACTCCATCTTACTTCTTGAGGTGAGAACCCTCCTCTGTGAACCTAAACACTGTGACTCAGCAGCACTGACCAATGAACCCCGGGGATCCCCCAGTCTCTGCCTCCAGCACTGTGATTACAAGCCTGTGCCACCACACCCAGCTATTACTGCTCTGTTGAAGATCTCAACTCAGGTCCTCATTCTGTGCAACAAGCACCTTACTGACTAAGCTATTTCCTCAGTACCCTAAAATAAAATCCTATCTCCATTTCTTAGTTATTTAACATTTATAAGTCTCCTTTTATACAGTTAGTACAGACTGTTGCTAACTCTGATGATGTGAGTCAGGAGTCACACAGAAGGGTAGTATATATACTTCCCCTTTCTCTCCCTTTGTCCTCTGCAGAAGACAAAAAGAGAAAGAGAAGGAAAAGGAGGACAAAAAGAAGATGAAAAGGGGGAGGAGGAGGAAGAGGAGGAGAAGGAAGAAGAGGAAGAGGAGAAGGAGGAGGAAGAAGACCATATGGATTTTTAGGGCAGTGGAACTATTCTTTTGGGATACATCATCTGTCCAAAACCATAGAATGGACAACACCAAGAATGGATGCTAATGATGGATTAGTGGGGCTACATCAGCTCTAAGAAACACACTCTACTCTCCTGGTAGATGTAGATATAGATGCCCTGAAAGGCTGTTCTTGCATAGAAGAAGAGGTACTAGGAAAGCTGCGTATCTTTAGTTACACTATAAAATTGAAACTACTCTTAAAAATAAATTGATATTTTTTAAAGGTGGAAGTGAAGAAATTACCATTTGGGAAAAGATTCCTCTGATTCATTTCTGTATCTCTTATTTATATCAGTCTTTAATATGGATCCCACCAAGCTGCAACATTACCTCTAGTGCAACATTTAAAGCCATGGGATGTCAAGTTGAGGGGAATATGCAAGAGCCACATGAACTTAAAATCTCACTATTTTTGGCACACTTTTTATTTCAGGTTTAGAAAATATTATGATAGCTGACTCACTCAGAGTGTTTTCAGACCTCATTTTGGCAGGGGAAAATGGGTTTGAAAAAGAGATTTCATGAACTGAGCTTCACAGTTGTACCACACGCTTGACAGAATCCAAAGAACGTGATTTCTTATGGGCGGGTGAGAGTGCTGCCTTCTATAGTGGAAATGAAATTTTCCGTCAGACAAAAAATGTGTCTCAGCACCTTAGCACACAGTCTGAAGTTCTCTCCAATGTGTGACAAAGGGGCCTGGAGTCAGTGTATGACTCAGAGTTGAATTGTTGACATCTCGGTCATAATATGAAGATCTTTTGAGTCTAACTTACAAGAAGACCTACATGAGATTTGACAAACTAAAAGATTTTATCTATTATATTAGGCTTAGAACATAGAATCATAACTGTTAGCCCATGCACCCAATCTATCCTGGCACCATTTTTAATCTTCATGTATCCCAGGTTAGTCTTGAACTCACCATGTAGCTGAGGATGATTTTGAACTTCTGACCCTCTTTCCCTCACCTCTCTCATCCTGGTAGTATAGACAAGTGCCACTGTGCCTGGTGGATGCTGTCGTGGAGATCCATTCCAGGACTTCATACATGCTAGACAGGCACAAGCTACCAACTGAACATGTACCCCAACCCTCTAGCATCTGTTTTTGTAAATAAAGCTTTGCTAGAATCCAACTCACTCATTCATTAACATCCTGTTTTATAGCGATTTTATTCGAAAATGACAGAGTGGAGTCTTTGCAAGAAAGATCACCTGACATACCAGGCAGAAAATAGTCACCATCCATCACATCCCACAGACTCTTGCTATACCACATAGTGGAATAAAATAGTTCCTGACAATCTAGAGAAGACCACTTCTTCACTCAACCATCATTAATCAGATTCCAGTGATGTGTTGGGGGCTCTGACAGATACTGAATCAATACAGCAAGGAAAAAAAACATAGATATGATCTGCTGCTGCAAAACAGCCTAATTGAAAGCACATGCTTGGTCAGAGAAACTTTTTTATGCAGTGGATGGAAGTTAATGCAGAGACTCATAACCAGTTACAGTCTGGGGAGTGGTTTTTGAGTGCTCAGTCCTAAAGAGGGCAACTCTATCAACCGCCCTCCTCTAATTTCGCTTCTGTCACTGTGATAAAACATCACTGGCCAAAGCAACTTGAGAAGAGAGGGGAGTGTTTGACTTACACTTCCATAGCACAGTCCATCATCGGGGAAACCAAGGCAGGAACCTGGAGGCTGGAACTGAAGCAGAAAGCATAGGGAGTGGGACTTACTGATTTACTCAGCCTATATTCTTATACAACCCAGGACCACCGGTCAGGGGTGACAGGGATCTGGATCCTCCCACAGCTGTCACTAATCAAGAAAAAGGGAGACATAGTAGGCTTCTGTGACATCACCCAAGGCCCAAAACTTAACAACCTAGACAGGAAGCCACTGCAGAAAAGTCTTTAAAATTGTGGTAAGGATGCTGAACTGTAGCTCTCCACAGCAAATGGCTACCGGTGGGGGTAGAAAGGACTCACTTTTCTTTAAGGAGCTGGCCACCTAGAGTTTGACCATGCTATATGGTGACTATATGGACAACACAAACTGGACTTTTTTCTTTTATTGATATTTTGATGGGAGCAGCACAAGAACAGAGGGTGGACCTGGGAAAACTGGGAAGTAAGGGTGATCAGGGTGCGGTGTGAAATTCCCTAATAGTCAATAAAAGAAATCATATTTTTAAAAAAAAAAGAAAGGAAAATGTAGCTAGAGTTTTCCTGCCTTGCCCACAGTCAGGACAAATCTTTGTCACCCGTCAGTCCCACAGCCTCTCAGACCCAACCAAGTAAACACAGAGACTTATATTGGTTACAAACTGTATGGCCATGGCAGGCTTCTTGCTAACTGTTCTTATAGCTTAAATTAATCCATTTCCACAAATCTATACCCTGCCACGTGGCTCGTGGCTTACTGGCATCTTTACATGCTGCTTGTCAGGGCAGTGACTCCTTCTGCCTTCCTGTTCTTTTATTTCTCCTCTCTGTTAGTCCCGCCTATACTTCCTGCCTAGCCACTGGCCAGTCAGTGTTTTATTTATTGACCAATCAGAGCAATTTGACATACAGACCATCCCACAGCACAGCCAAATGCAGACCATCTCGGACACCTGCACTCAGGCCCGTGGTCCTAATCATCCTCTATGCAGACCTGCTGGGTAAAGCCACAAGGAACCCAAGAACGGGCTTCCACAGGACATACAGAACATCCCACAGCAGGAAAATGCCCCATGGGCTTGCATACAAGCCAATCTGATGGAGACAATATCTCTGTTGGGATTCCTTCTTTCCAGATGACCCTAGCTTGTGTTAACAACAATAACAAAAAAAAAATTAACGAAGAAATTTCCCAAGATTCAACTAACATCACAGAAAGAAAGTAAAATCCAGAGGATGAGCAGGAGTGCTCTGGGATATTTCTTGTATATATGACATGACCATGGTATTTCTGATCTCACAGGCACTGTGGTCACCAGTTCAAAACTTCACAGACATACACAAAAGAACACATAGGCATAGGATTGAGTCTACAGGAAGAAGAAATGGGTCACAAAGTAAAAGTGTGAGAAAAGAGAGAGTAACAGGGGTGAATATGATCATAACATAATGCATATATGTGTGAAATTGTCAAAGATTTTTTAAAAAATCTAGGTATATGAGCATGGAGGTGGTGGCCAGCAAGAAGCTGTTTTCAGCTTAAGACAGTATCTGCAGGCAGATCTTTTTTTTTTTTTTTAAGAGAAATGAAAGCACTGGTCAGCCACACTGTCCTGGAGGTGAAAGGGGGAAGGAGGGTGGACGGGCCCAGCAAGCACCAAATCCCCCTCCCTGTGAATTAAGTCAGTGGGCTGGCAGCAGGCCGGAGACACAATGAAGTATTCTGCTGGAGAACAGGTGAGTTAAAAATCATGCACTTGCAGGAGGTGAGGTTTTTAAAGTATTCCCATGGCTGCTTTCAGGAAGGTCCTCATTAGGCTTGATGTGAGTTCCCTCTGATGCTGCCCTTTCCCCTGACTTGGAGAACTGCGGCTTGAAAGAGGCAGTTCAGTCCCCACTGTGGCTCAGTCCTTGGCCTAATTTAGGTAGTACAATAATTCTCTCCAACTGTGCAGATGATGAGATGGGGCCTCTGCGAATTCTTGTTTGAGAATTGGTGTCCGGAATCTACAAGAAAAGCATCCAGGTGCTGTCTTTTGGACTCTGCTGCAGCTGAGCTGATGTCCTGTTGATAAAATAAGCTCACAATACGGCCCCAAAGCAGCCTGCTTGTGCCGCCCCACGCCTGCCTATTTCAGAGGCTCAGATGTCAGAATCTGAAAGGTCTGATCGACCATCTGACCTGAGCCTAACATTATGTTTTACAGTTTAAAAGGAAAATGATATACAAAAAAAAAGGATAAAATAGTTTCCATTGAACAAATGTTACAATGTGAAGAGACCTGAGATCTCTGAACAGCCTGATTCATTAAGGTGCAGAACTTATTTGAAAGCTTAGGATCTTCCAAACATCAAGTGTAATATTTTAAGGTTCACAGAAAAGTGCTTCCTGAGGCTTGCACAGTCTTTCATAGCTTTAAACCCATGTAGGTCATAATTGGCAAGCCACCTCACAAACAGCATTTTTATCTTAGTGGAGAGTATTTCACCCACAGCCCCAGCCACCT